TGTAGTGTCCAGCAAGATACTCAGGCGTAGCTGACATTCATGGGTTAGTCATTTCAAAAGTAAGCCTTAAATCGAATAGCTGAATAAGGGCGCTCGTAATTACCTCCCAAACTGTGGCAAAGTTAGCAACAATAGATCTAGAAAATCATTGATGCATGTAATTGCATATGCTTTGATATGAAGTTACGGCTCTTGATAAGGTGACTCACGGAACATTTGATTCAAATATTTGTAGGCCAACCTATTACTCTAAGATTAGTTCCCTCACACACCTTTCACCTCTACTAGGGATGGGACTGATCCTGAAGATGGCGCAAACAAGGCCCGCTCTCCTGGTAAACTACTAACCTTAGACCATTTCCCAACCTATCCAAATGTAAGTCAGTTACTACTAGGAATCGGAATAAATTTGGCAGGATTTTAAACTATATGGAAGCTACTACAGAGCTCTAAAACCTGATTGGGGCAAGCAAAATCTACTTACTGGCTCGAGCGTTACACCACGGTTAATCAGAGCAGAGGCCAATTCTCTTCTGCTTGTCCTCAAGGTGTTTGTTCTAAAATTTGTGTTAATCAAAATTGAGTGTTGGGGATATTCAGATATGCATACCTTATGACAATAGGACGAGGACTTAAACGTCGCAAGTCAGTAATCCCGCTCCTAATTATAGTCAAATAATCCCGGATATTACTCACGTCTCATTGGCGTCGAAAAATGCAAGTGCTTCTCTCTGTACAACAGGTCAGCGCCCGGCTACCTTGGACCGTCATAAACGTAAGCGGAGCGGTATCCATGTCTGAAAGAATCTTACCGGTGGGAAAAGGCCCAACAACTTTTCTGCTAGGAATTCCGAATAACCTATGGAACTGCATGTCAGCCCTGCATCTAGAAAACACCGTGGGTTCAAAGGGTACCGCTAGTCACTCACCGTAGTATGCACAGATATCCTTCAGCAATTGGGCAGTGTACTCGGATCGAGAGGTACCAGGCTCTGATAAGTTCGCGAAGTCATCAAGTACGCGGATCGTATCCGATATACGTTGTCTCAGCAGCTGCAAGTCGGGGGCCAACAAAAGCTTGTTCTGTTCTTCAGTCCCGTCTTCTAGAACATGGGGAATATCAATGTTGGTTTGTAGAGTCTCTTGTAGCTCGGCTTTATCGGCGGCTTCCTCTTCAGCCCTCTCCTCATCTAGCTTCCGAGATAGACCGACAATATTGGCTGCAGTAAGTCTCTCTTCGGCGTCGCCTTCGGAATCGTCTTCGTCCTCGGAAAATATGGCTCTGGACTCCCCTTCGCCCTCCGAGTCGTAAACAGAGTCGTCCGAACCCAAGAAGTCGTCGCCTAGGCCGCCTTCCTCGCCTAGATCAGACATATCGTCGTCGCTGAACCCGCCTCCTACTCCATCGCTCATATCATCGAGGTCGAGCTCGGGCTCAGGTTTGGATTTCTTGGACTTTGATTTCGCCGCCTTGCCATTCTGCGGCGGGAGGGGTTTGGTCACTTTGGTCCCATTCGACTTTCCATTCGCCTTGCCATTGGCTTTGTTGTTGGACTTGCTGCTTGGCTTGCCGTTTTGTGCCTTTCGCTTCTTGGTCTCGGGGACATCGTCGACGGGAAGCCCAGCTTTGCGCTTGAGTTTCGCAAAATGCGCTTCGGATAGGGGCTCCGGTATGCCCTGGTGCTTAAGTCTGTTTCCAGTACCCATTTCGGAAGATTAGGCTCGCGCAAAGAACCAATTGTCACGAAGTCGTATCGTGTACAGGATCCGGGTAGATTCTAGGTAGATTCGCAGAGAGCGAGCACTGGTTCGAGCTACCGACTAGGATTTGCTCCGTCAACTTTTTTTGAATGAGGCCCACATGGATAAGTTGATAAGACATGTATCTCCACCACACTACACTGCTAGTAGCTTAGGTACCTCTCAGCAGGTACCTAGGTATACCTGCCCATGGGGGCTTGTGTGAGCTCCAGCCACAAAGTGGGGGAGTACCTGAGCCGACGCAATTCGTCCTTTGGCCTCATCACAACCATAACAAAACGATCTGCGCAATAGTTCACATCTTACATACCCATAAGAGTTCCCAAATCAACACAACATCCATCCTACAGTAGACACGATGGCGGAAGTAACCTTCGCCAAATCCTTCCTCGCCGCGCTAGACGGCCGCCCAATCAAGCTATCGCCAGACCATGTCGAAGATCCAAAGACCTACCCAGCCCGAAGTGCTGTACGTACCCCTCCGTTCGGACACTGGTCGTGGTTCGGCGGCGTAGAGACCCGATATCTCGAACCGAAAATGGAATACTGACAGAGAGACAGTACACTCTACCTAAGATGCCAAAAGCGATGAGCAAACGGAAAGGCACGAGCGTAGCACCAGGCCAAGAACGAAGCCTCGTCGTAACAGTTAAATCCCTCCGCAACCCCCCGCTCGACTTAAGACTCTCTTCCCAGACCCTCAACACCTCGATACATGACGTCAAGACCTCTGTAGCTAAAGAGACTGGTATACCCGAGGACAAGATCAAGATCCTACATAAGAAAAAGCCCGTCCCCGATAGCAAGGTGCTCAAAGATTTAGTTGGTGAGGATGATATAGCGGTTGAGTTTTCTGTCATGGTCATGGGTGGTGCCGCAGCTGCGGCGACGAAGCCAGATGCAAAGGCCGAGGTTGCCCAAGGTTTAAGTGGCACAGATGTCTTACAAACACAGGAGTTCTGGGACGATCTTAATGGTTTCTTACTACAACGGATAAGAGATGAGCAATTAGCTACGGAGCTCACAAATACATTCCAGCAGGCATGGAAGGCTAAGGGATGAGGCCCCTTAATGACGTTAGATATTAGAAGACAAGTACAGGCACCGTTTGGTTAACTCGGTGCGCCAAACGTAAAAGAAATACACACAGCGCGGTTGTCGGGGGGTTGTAGTATCGACAAAATGCTTTGCAGTCAAGGGATAACTAAAGTGGTATAGTGTATCATTTGCTAACATCGAAACTGGAGTTTTGTGTCGAGCAACCTCCGTAATAGGCTACCAATCTACCGTTCGTTGCAAGCCCACGGCGTATAGACTTGTAACAAATCTCCCCTCTTCATAGTGTCGTGGACTTCGTAGGCCAGGGATACCCAGCTAGTCCTTTTTATCTTGTCCGTCTAATTCATGTGGCGGCAATATTTAGCACGTTTAACCGGCGAGACCCTTGCTGACAATCTTGAGCACGGAGTCGTGTTCAATGTCATCTGGGTCGTTGGCTTGTAGCTCATGGGCAATGCCGTTTAGTGAGCGCTTGAGGCCTTCCTTGGACGAGGCGTACACCATCTTGGGCTACAAAATTATTAGCCATTAAAGGTCACGCATGACGCAGAATCGGGTGAACTAACCATGACACCGGCATCATCTGGGGACCAAGCGATAAAGGTGATCTTGTTTCTGTATATGTGTTATTAGCGTGGTGCCGTCTCTGTGCTAAATTGTGGTACCAACCGGGAACCCTCTCCGCTAGCGAGGCTGTACTCGAAATCATAGACAGCGTATCGGGGGCCCTTGGAGACAGCGCCCTAGCAAGTTTGTAAGTATAACAACGAGCTGACAGAAGGCGCAGTCACAGCTTACACTCTTGGTCTTGGTAGTGGCCGTGATGAGCTTCTGGCGGAAGTTCTCCCAGTCCTTATCCGCGGACGCTTCCTCGATTACGATCTCTCGGTTGTCGTCGCTCAGCTTGAAGATGATGTATTTGTACTTCTTCGCAAGCTTAAGGTCGTTGAATGCAGTTATGCAGTCCTGTGAGACGGTGGCTCTAAAAAAATTCCAGCCCTGTTAGCTACACCTACTTAAATTCACCAATACTAATATTGAATGTAATATGTATAGAAAGGCGCATGTGGAAAGGCGCGCGGGGGTGGTAATTAAGACGTAGAGAGGCGGGACGAACCCTGATTGAGACTATGAAAGGATGGCAAGTTAGCAAGAAAGCAAAGTTGTTTCCATGGAGTAGTAAAAGCGAATTCTTACCATGGCGGCGGCGGACGGGTGGAAGACGGCAAATAAAGCCTAGGAGAGCTATGAGGAATGGTTAGTGCCCACAGGACTCGAGCGCACTTGAGGAGGCGGATAGATATACGATGACAGATTTCCGGGGGGACAGCAGGCAGAACTTACAGTGGAAGTGAATGGAACGGTTGAGCCGCGCTGACGTGGTCAACAATCGTTAAAAAGTTGGGTTTTGGCTAGGCGGTAGTCGTAACAATAAGGGGTGGATGAGGGAAAGAGAGAGGTCAGGTTGGTTAGAGACTAGGTAGATACCTGACAGGCTGGATGCGGGATGTGTGTGTGGTGGTGGGACGCCGTCGCAATGGAGGGGAAGATGGTCGGACTTGGTCGAAAAAAAGTGACGTCCTGGGGCAGACGAATGCACACTGTGTGTCAATGGTCCATGAGCCCAGCCAGAACCCAGCCAGAACCAACCTGTGTAGCCGTCTTGATCGCTACAGAATACTGAATTACAGGGTCGCCAACCGCCTCTCCAAGCCCCCCCAAGGCAGACGAGATACGGTGCTTAGTGGAGTGACGAGTCGGTGGGGCTTGGTGGGCTGGTTGACCGCGAGATACTTACAGTTGGCTTGGCTGACGAGGGGTAATTGCGTGTATCTAGGTACCTACTAGCTATGTATGGTCTGACATTAGTACCTTACCAAAAATACAGGCCCTACCTAATGCACTGTACAACATACGTACTTGCAGGTTGCTTCAGGTGCTTTGGGGACCAATGCGATGTCCAATGAGAATGAGGGCTCTAAGAACAAATAAATAAATAAACACAAAGAGGCAAGAGAAGAGCAACAATTTAAAAAAGAGGTTACCTAGGTAATAGTATGACATTACCTAAGTAGGTAGACATAGGTACACTACCTAATATGTACTTAATGTATAGACAGAGGAGGCAACCAGAATCCAGCAGTTTGAAAAATAAAAATGACAGATCAAAAAGGTATTCATGTCCTGGGTGAGTCTCGAACTCACGACCTTTGGATAGCTCACTCTGAGAGTGCTTCATATATCATAGAAGAATATGAGACCAACGCTCTACCGCTGAGCCACCAAGACATGTGGTTTTAATTATGTAATCGTTGCGGTCAAGTCACTCATATGGACAGCCCCGCATCCTGCCCACAGTACCCCGCCAAACTTGAGCAGGTAGGAAATTATCCGCAGCAAGTGCTCTCTACTACCTAGTATGCCACAACACAAAGCCCTCAATATCAAACATTTATCACCTCCTTTCTGTTCTAAAACTTGTTAATGAGTCTGCCTGCTACATCCACTGCTAAGTGTGGAAAGCAATGACGAGCAGTCTCGTTGTGTCGCCTCGTCTTTTAACTGGTACCTAATCTAACATTAGAACGAGAGTTTGTGTTTAAAATACAAATTCAGAGAGGATAACCTAGGTTGCATAGCTGAGCATGAGGACGGGATTGCGTAATGCGAGCCAGCCACAAAGCTGAATTAATAATGTCCGCTTGGGGTTCCATGATTCGACGCTACACTTTGAGATCGCCAAGGCGAGCGAACAGCGCCCCCACCAGGCAACAAGTTTCCATGGTAGAAAACTATCAGAATTCGGTGACATGTGTAGGCACCCAGATAGAAAGCTAGTCAGATAGTTGCCTAATGGAATGAGTGATTCGTTCAATCGGATTCTTCGTTTTGCCAGCTTAGCGCCACTAAGTAATAGGGAGGCTAAGCTAGCTACTTGACTATGGTACATAACAGTCGTTTACAACGCCGCTCGGGATATCGTTAATAGTGTGAACAATCAATGTACATGTGGTGGAGGTAGAGGGGAGAGAAGAGAGATTACATGGCCACATGAGATGACAAAATCCATCCCCCAAACACCAAATTCAATGCTCCTTTTTAACCCAGAAATCTTGCTTTTGATACAATAGGAGAAGAGGGTTAGGTGTGCCTCATGTAACTTCTTACATCATACCACCCATGCCTCCCATGCCTCCCATACCGCCCATACCACCCATGGGGGCGGCAGGTTTATCTTCCGGAGCCTCGACGATAGCAACCTCTGTAGTACCAAGCAGCGAAGCGACACCGCTAGCATCAACGAGCCCAGTTCGAACAACCTTGAAGGGGTCGAGGATACCAGCGGCGATCATGTCGACGAATTCACCCTTGGAGCTATCGAAGCCCTTGTTGAAGTCAGCGCCAAACTCATCCATGAGCTTACCAACGACAACCGAGCCCTCTAGACCGGCATTCTCGACGATGGTGCGAGCGGGTCGGGTGATAGCGTTCTTGATAATGCTAACACCAAGTTGCTGATCGAAGTTGCCCGGCTTGACATCCTTCAGAGCGTGGGCCGAGGCCTTAAGCAGGGCAGTACCACCACCGGGAAGGATACCCTCCTCAACAGCGGCGCGAGTAGCGTTCAGAGCGTCGACGAATCGGTCCTTCTTCTCACCAACCTCGACTTCAGATGAGCCACCGACCTTGATAACAGCAACACCGCCAGAGAGCTTAGCCAGACGCTCCTGGAGCTTCTCCTTCTCGTAATCGGAGGTGCTAGGGTCAGACATGACACCACGGATCTGTTCACATCGCTGGGCAATAGCATCTTTGCTTCCCTCACCATTCAGAATGATTGTATCTTCCTTGGTGATGGTGATAGAGCCAGTAGAGCCGAGAAGATCAGGGGTGGCCTTCTCAAGCTTAATGTCTAGCTCGTCGGTAAAGACAGTTCCGCTGGTGAGAACACCGATATCTCCAAGAATAGACTTGCGGTTGTCACCGAAGCCGGGAGCCTTGACCGCCGCAACTTGTAGCTGTCCACGGAGCTTGTTGAGAATGCAAACAGCGAGAGCCTCGCCGTCAATATCCTCGGCAATGATAACGAGAGGTCGACGCATCTGGGTCGAGGCCTCAAGAGCAGGGATGATATCCTGGACGGCCGAGATCTTCTTCTCGGACAGGAGGATAAGGGGCTTCTCGAACTCAACCTTCTGAGCTTTGGTGTCGGTGATGAAGTAGGGAGAAACGAAACCACGGTCAAATCGCATACCCTCGGTAACCTCGAGCTCATCGTTCAAAGTCTTGCCCTCCTTAACAGTGATAACACCCTCCTTGCCAACCTTCTCCATGGCATTGGCAATTAGCTTACCAATGTGGGTATCTCCGTTTGCACTGATAGTGGCGACCTGGGCAATCTCTTCACTTGTGGTGATATCACGCTTGTTCTTCTGGAGGAACTCGACAACAGCGTCAACAGCGGCCTGAGTACCACGGCGGAGGTCCATGGGGTTGCAACCGGCAGCAACATTCTTAACCGTCTCGGAGAAGATGGCTCGAGCGAGCACGGTAGCACTGGTGGTGCCGTCACCGGCGGACTCGTTCGTCTTGGAGGCGACATCTTGCAGTAAACGAGCACCAAGGTTTTCGAATTTGTCCTGCAGGCTAATGGCTTTGGCAACAGTGACACCATCTGTTTGGCGCAATGTGAGCATATTTGAAGCCTCTCTCTAGAAGAAAGGACTGGTTTAAATACCTTTTGTGATCTTGGGGGAGCCATAGCTGGACTCAATTAGAACATTTCGGCCCTTAGGACCTAATGTGGTGGCAACGGCCTTGGCGAGAGTCTCGACACCAGCAAGCAGGGCAGCTCGACCCTCTACACCAAACTTAAGCTCCTACAGTGTATATGTCAGTATCAGTCTAGGGGTCTGAGACAAGAGAAATCTATGAGCGGACCTTGTGGGCAAATCGAAGTTGTTGCGACAGACCAGCACCAGCGCGGTACTTGGTGGCAGCCGACGACAGGACGGAAGCCCTGGCGCGGGAGGAGAGGGCGCGCTGCATTGTGATTTGTGGTGTACGTATTAGGAGTAGTATAGTAAAAGTACAGTGTCGCAAGGAGAGTGAGTATATGAGACGGTAGGGAGAGGGTGAGGAGGAGAGTTGTTTGAGAGATGAGTTTGGGGAAGCTGGGGAAAAAGGCTTCAAAAATTTCGGCTTTAGATACGAAATAGACGGACTGCAAGAAGGTGAGCTTTTGACGACGCTAACCGACCTTGTACTAGGGCGGACCGTAGCTCTGGTTGGTAGAAAACCGTCGAAGCATTCACAAGCCTTTCACAAAGCCAATGACCCCGTTTTATTGCACTTTGGTGACGATATTTAAAAATATGCATCAATTCACCACAGGTCTTTCGTCCCAACTTTCGACCATATTTACACGATCAACTACCTAAACGTCTCTAACAAAACTCCGACTTGAATTTTATATTTATATTCATACATAATACCACTTAAATCCTACCTAGAGTGTTATCTACTTCGAATGCTTCAAGTGCTGTCTTCTTTACCTACAACCACTGCCTGCCACATGTTGTGCTTCCATGTAGATACTTGATTAACAGGCTAAATACTCAGACCTTGAGCGCTGGGTGCGATCTAGTAGTACTAAGAATCTGAGATAATCGCATTCTGTTAGGTGTGTCGAGAAGAGAAGCGGCATTCTTCTCGTCAAGTAGGTCTTTTTAATATGCTAATTATACATTAGCCTTACAAGTATGATGGCAGAATGTATGTGGGGGATATGCTTGTAAGTTAAGACTAATGTAGGTACAACATATGTATGTAGGTAGTTAGGCGAATTTAATGATGCAGCCACTGTCGTCGATAGCGATCGAAATTTAGTGTTTCTGTATAATGAAGATGGTAGGCTAGGTATGGACCACAAAGGGCTGTGACACTGAGGCTTGCTGCTGTGGGTGCCCCTAAAACCCGCCGGACAGGTGATGATTAATGATTGATTGCCGTCATCTCACGGCTTTAACACGAACTATCGCCGCCACTTTAGAAGATTGCTTACAAAACACAGCATCAGCTTGGATTATAAGAAGAGGCTATCCAGACTACTTTGTGCCTGAATTTATCTTAAAACCCATCGCAACAATAAGAAGGACCTCAGAATAACCAGCCCACAATGTCGACTGTGGCCAAGACCATCGTTGCCACCGGCGCAACCTCTGGCATCGTGAGTTAGCAGAGGCAGACTAGTTCACCAATACCACCACGAACGATACTAACAAATAACATATAGGGGTTTGAAGCCATCAAGCAGCTACTTGCCCAGTCTCAACCTTATAACTTCATTCTTGGTGCTCGAGACACAAAGACGGCGACAGAGGCTTACAATGGGCTCAAATACGACACCAGCAAGCACAAGCTCACCATCGTCCCGCTGGAGCTGAACAACATGAAATCCGTCAAGACATTCGCCCAGCAGAGTCTTGAGAAGCTGGGTGCTAGTCCAATTGACTACCTCATGCTCAATGCAGCAACCGCCATGGCCAAGAAAGTAGCGGAGACCGGGCCGCACGGTTCAAAGTGGTCTGAGCCATATCTCGTTAACCACCTCTGTCGGTACCAGTCCTTCAAGCTAGCTTTGCTCTAGATATGACTAATATCCGTTGCAGCGCAGCATTATCTCCTCCATCTACTACGGCCCAAGTTAGAGCAGTCCAAGACGCGTATCGTAGTAGTCTCTTCCGGCGCTGTACGAATGGTGAAAGATCCTAGTAAGAAAATCCCGACGCCTTTACAATCGCTTTGCATAGCTAACCATATTCACCGTAGGTACTCTAGAGGTTGAGGCACTTTCTGCAAGGGATGGGGCAAAGATGATCTACCCTGCTACCAAGTTCATACAGCTCCTCGGCACACATTGGTGGCGCCGTCAACTCCAGGGTGTCTGCGAAGTTGTAGCCGTATCTCCCGGATTGATCCCGAATACGGGCCTTTCTCGAGGGAGCGATATGAAGATAGCGGACAATCTTCCTGATGCGAAAAGTATTCCTGAAGGTATGCGCCTAATGATTCAGCTTCCCCTTAAGTCCGACTAGAGAACTTACCAAAAGTGCAGGTGCGCAGAGCGTCCTCAGGGCCTTCTTCAGAGACGACCTGCCCGCGGATCCGGAACAGATCTTCCTCACAAGTTGGGGAGAGTGGTGGCCTAAGGATGTCTATGAGCTGTCACTTGACAAGAACCTTCAGGAGAAGTGGTCGCCAAACCAGGCGGAAATTGAGAAAGAAGA